CAGTATGTAAGCAAATCATTACCTAAAACATTTCATTGTTTATAATGGGTTCATGGTACCACAACCCATAAATTATTCATGACGTTATACAGACAATAAGGTCTACATTCAAAAAAACAAAAATAAAAAAAAAAGAGAAATTACAGCCCAGCCCATATCCAGCGACTCGGGTTGGGGTCAGTTGGCTTCTGGGAGAAAATCAAAGCTCTAAATCTAATTGACAGCATTGAGACTTTGTGTGAACAATTTTTAGGAGCTGTATTTTACTCCAGCAATTTAGTGTTGTACTTCAAAATCAGTGCAGCTGAAACAGAGATATCCTGAGCATTGGATTGTACACTTCCCATAATGCAATTAAAGAGCATCTATTCATTCACCCAACCTGCCTTGTGTCCGCCCGTATCTTTCAAACTCCAGGCCTCTGATTTGTAACACAATAAATGTTACTCTTATCCTAAGCTGAGATAACCTCAATGGGGTTACATTTTCAGACTCCAAACCTCCCTCGGGAGCCTCAGAAAACATTAAACTGTTTTCATAGGCTGATTAGAGCTCCCCATGACGAGTAAACTGACCTTTTGTTCAGAACCCTTGCTGAGTGCCCTTTTAAGTCTGAACTTACAGTATTTCTCAGTCGCTTATGCTCATTTTTTTAAACATTCTGAACCTTCTCTCAGCTCCAAATGATAATTGTCACAACTGTTTCATGGGACCTCACAACTCTGTACATATCTGCAAAAGGTAGTATCTCACCACAAACATTTCATTCATGCTGGAAAAAAAAAGTAGTTATTGTGTGAGTAAATTGGCTAATGCTGCAAAATATAAAGTCGATTTGTCTTCACGTGAGCCATACTGGTCCAAATGTATAGATGTTTTTTCACCTTGGCAGTCAACCCTGGATATGTATCTTATATACAAATCTCTGCTCAGTTGTGCTTTGTGTTGACACTGACTGCTTACTGTACTACAGGAATGTCAGTTTTGTCGAGCTAATTGCTGTTGTACAGTACAGGCCAAAAGTTTGGACACACCTTCTCATTCAATGCGTTTTCTTTATTTTCATGACTATTTACATTGTAGATTCTCACTGAAGGCATCAAAACTATGAATGAACACATGTGGAGTTATGTACTTAACAAAAAAAGGTGAAATAACTGAAAACATGTTTTATATTCTAGTTTCTTCAAAATAGCCCCCCTTTGCTCTGATTACTGCTTTGCACGCTCTTGGCATTCTCTCCATGAGCTTCAAGAGGTAGTCACCTGAAATGGTTTTCCAACAGTCTTGAAGGAGTTCCCAGAGGTGTTTAGCACTTGTTGGCCCCTTTGCCTTCACTCTGCGGTCCAGCTCACCCCAAACCATCTCGATTGGGTTCAGGTCCGGTGACTGTGGAGGCCAGGTCATCTACCGCAGCACTCCATCACTCTCCTTCTTGGTCAAATAGCCCTTACACAGCCTGGAGGTGTGTTTGGGGTCATTGTCCTGTTGAAAAATAAATGATTGTCCAACTAAACGCAAACCGGATGGGATGGCATGTCGCTGCAGGATGCTGTGGTAGCCATGCTGGTTCAGTGTGCCTTCAATTTTGAATAAATCCCCAACAGTGTCACCAGCAAAACACCCCCACACCATCACACCTCCTCCTCCATGCTTCACAGTGGGAACCAGGCATGTGGAATCCATCCGTTCACCTTTTCTGCGTCTCACAAAGACACGGCGGTTGGAACCAAAGATCTCAAATTTGGACTCATCAGACCAAAGCACAGATTTCCACTGGTCTAATGTCCATTCCTTGTGTTTCTTGGCCCAAACAAATCTCTTCTGCTTGTTGCCTCTCCTTAGCAGTGGTTTCCTAGCAGCTATTTGACCATGAAGGCCTGATTCGCGCAGTCTCCTCTTAACAGTTGTTCTAGAGATGGGTCTGCTGCTAGAACTCTGTGTGGCATTCATCTGGTCTCTGATCTGAGCTGCTGTTAACTTGCGATTTCTGAGGCTGGTGACTTGGATGAACTTATCCTCAGAAGCAGAGGTGACTCTTGGTCTTCCTTTCCTGGGTTGGTCCTCATGTGTGCCAGTTTCGTTGTAGCGCTTGATGGTTTTTGCGACTCCACTTGGGGACACATTTAAAGTTTTTGCAATTTTCCGGACTGACTGACCTTCATTTCTTAAAGTAATGATGGCCACTGGTTTTTCTTGAGTTAGCTGATTGGTTCTTGCCATAATATGAATTTTAACAGTTGTCCAATAGGGCTGTCGGCTGTGTATTAACCTGACTTCTGCACAACACAACTGATGGTCCCAACCCCATTGATAAAGCAAGAAATTCCACTAATTAACCCTGATAAGGCACACCTGTGAAGTGGAAACCATTTCAGGTGACTACCTCTTGAAGCTCACTGAGAGAATGTCAAGAGTGTGCAAAGCAGTAATCAGAGCAAAGGGTGGCTATTTTGAAGAAACTAGAATATAAAACATGTTTTCAGTTATTTCACCTTTTTTTGTTAAGTACATAACTCCACATGTGTTCATTCATAGTTTTGATGCCTTCAGTGAGAATCTACAATGTAAATAGTCATGAAAATAAAGAAAACGCATTGAATGAGAAGGTGTGTCCAAACTTTTGGCCTGTACTGTATATAGCGCACTGAGCTCCATAGTAAATAAAACGAGTCCATACCCACTGAGTACAGCATACCATACCATGACTTAGTCATACCAAAAATTAGAAAAAAACAACAACATTCGGCCACAGGGGGAGCCACAGCGATCTGTCGCATTTTAGCCATTTCTAAGCATTTTTCTGTTGTTATAGCACCACCCAGTTGCCAATTAGAGTTAAATTTCTCCAGTCACCTTGAGGCGTCCTGTTCTACATATCTACCAAGTTTAGTAAAAATCGATATGGCGGTTAGGCCTAGATAAGAAATTAGCTCTCTAGCGCCCCCATTTTGTTTGATGGGGTCAATAATGGAGGGGTCCCCTCAGATTATGTGTGGTCATATGCCTACAAAGTTGCGTGGTGATCAGTGAAACCCTTGAGATGTTATACACCTTTATGTGATGAGCCACGCCCTCCGCAATATTCATTGCCTTATAGAAACTCAGTTTTAGTAAGTTATCCAACTTTTGCCAAGAGGGAACTTTAGATATTGGTCCTTAGATTATGTTCACCGAGTTTCATGCAGATCCGTCAAACTTCTAGGAAGAGATAAATTTTAAGTGTTTTTCAAAAATTTCAAAATGGCGGAAAATCTATATAACCAGAAGTTATGGGTTCTTGGGGCACATTTGTTCCTCATGAGGAGAGGCATCTCTGCGCAAAGTTTCATGTCTCTACGACATACGGGGCATGAGATATACCCATTCAAAGTTTGCAATTTCAATCGGTTGCTATAGCGCCCCCCCTTTGGCCAATTGATGTAATATTGCTTCATTGGCATCCTCCCATGACCCTCTACCACTGTGCCAAATTTCACATGGATTGACCAAGTCAGTGAGGAGAAAAACATGGAACACACACACACACACACACACACACACACAGAGTTGTCGTCATTGTATAGTAAAGATAAGAGTGCAACAGTAGGTAAGAGTGTACTGGGAAGTCAGTACAATACAATAGTACACAGTAAGAAGAATATGCAGTAAGTAAGTAGATTTATTTATCAAGTCTATGTTAGTAGATTTGTGTAGAAATGTGTCACATGGAATGTAAACAGAAAATTCACCTTTCATCTTTCATGTAAAGTCGCACAGAAAATTTGCCACAAGATGACATCCATGTCAAAACCAAAACAAAGAAAAAAAGGTCACCTGGGAGTTTATTTTCCAATTAAGCAGACATCATAAACATTCTATGTTATAGATATTTATGGAATATCTAAGATTTTGATAATAAAAAAGATCATTTTGCATGTGATCTCAAAGGATGAAAGAATGGTTAGAAGTTGTGAACAGCGTCACTGAGAATTAACTCATCACTTTTGATCAGCAAATCATGTCCAAGTGGTTATTGGATCTACAGCACATGGTCTAAAGTGCATGGTGCAAGTGCATTTAGTGTTTGTTTAGCTTTACTTTTGTTGGTTAAATGGTGCACAATCTCAGTGCAAAGTAAGGCGCAAGGGGCAAAGGGGTTGTATTTAGTCCCTTAATTATTCATAGGTGTGTTTTGTGCATAACATTAATTCAACCAATCAGAGTATCATCTCCAATTCCCTTTAAAACCAAGGCGCATCCACCCTGTGCACTGCTATTTATATTGCAGATTCAAACAAAGTGGAGCAGCAAGCAGTTATCTGCTGAGAGTAATGCAATAAGAGCGGTAATGTCACTGCAGCAAATATCAGGGGACATTTAAGCAGCAAAACTAAAAACTGTAGTTATAAACTTGACAGAGGAAACAGAAGAAACTTTTAGCTTCAGAAATGATCAGTGAAGTTATGCCACTCTGTGTGTGTAAATGTGCACAATGTCTCTCTTCATGGGGAGTCAGACAGCAGCTCTTATCTGATCTCTGCCATGTTCACATTTTAGAGAATGTCATTAATAATTTCCTCATTAATGATGTCTTATTTCACTCACCTGCAACCCATTCGTGCATCCCTGTGTGTATAACAAGCAGAGTGTTCACGTGTTGTGAACCTGCCTTTGTAGCTCATTTTAATATCTGAATAATGTGCCCTTTAAATAGCAGGAAAATACTGCTTCACTCTGACGTTTGACCAGGTTTTAGTTAGTTATGGCACAATCGCTTTCTGCTGCCTCAAAATAGCAATACCAAGACCAATTATAAGACCTACACACCCAATGGCGCATCGATGGGTTCAATTTCATTTTGCTACTCGCTCTGACGTTGGTGCTGGCTGTGGTGACATCTTTGTCAGTCTAGAGCAATGACACATGTTCTTTGCTGTGCGCTGCTTTGTGCCGGCCGTAAGATAGATAGTAAAGTTACATTTTAATGCAGATTCTGTCTTTCTCTCTTTCTCTGTCAGGTGACTTATGGCTCTTTTGACTACACCTCACTCCTGTACCTGTCTGACTACGGCTCTGACTTCACTGGAGGAAGATTTATCTTCATGGACCAAAATGGCAACCGCACAGTGGAGCCACGGGCAGGTAACCCAGCAGCTATTAAAAATCAAATTTACGTGATATAGTACTTTTACCAGCTTCAGCTTCAAAGACATTGATGTTCGGCTTTCTGTAAGGCAGGATACTGTAAATCAAGACTATCAGTAGTAACTCCCGGCTTTGTCTATAAAAACCCATTAATCCACACTTAAAGTAAGTGATGTGAGATAGATAAAGGATTTAATTAATACAGTCATTCTAAAAATGAAATTATAATTGATGTACTAAGCTGCATTATGAATGTGGAGGTGGTTTTAGTGGGCGTAATCCTTTGTAAGTGGGTAATCAGCAGCACAGACTGCTGCACAGTGAAGATGCAGGGGATTAGGCTTTACCTTGCATATAGTCCCCAGAGGGGTACACATAAGAGCATATTGATCTCATGTGTGTATGTATAGAATATATGGAAAATATGGGCAAGGCTGCGAGTAAAAGGATATTTTGAAGTTGCCTGTGTGAAAACCACATGGCAGAATAACATGTACAGGGTTTCAGGGACAGTTCATGGAGTACCATGGGACTTCAGAGGCACATGTGAGGCATTTAAAAACAGGGGAACTGGATCAATTCTCTGGGGAGCTTGTGGAAAATCAGTGAAGTTTCCGAGCTGCTCACTTTAAAGGAATGTGCCAGAATGAGTTTGCCAACTTGTTTCAGACATCCATTGAACTCGCTGGTGAGTTTTCAGCTGTTTTCTTCTACTTTTGTTCTGCTGTCTTGACTGTGTGCTCCTTTTCAACTTTGGCAACTTTTCAATTTCATTTTCCCCAGGGCAGAGTTTGTCTTTTAGCTAGATGAAACACAAAACACACACACCTTAACAATGTTTCTGAGCTCAAAAACAACATTGAAAGGTCATGGAAACAATCTGAGTTATTGACAGAAAGTCTTAGAAATGTGGAATTTTACAGAAAGGTCAACAGGGGACATTTTTGTGTAATTCAAATGTTATTTATATAGTGAAGCCCAAAACAGGCCCTCAGGAGCCTCGCTCAGCCTTGTATTTCAGTGAAAAAATCCCCTGCGGCCCGAAAAGGATTATGCCATTGACCACCATTGTAAAAGAGACGTCTGTGAAACTGTTGACAGGATGACTCGAACTACAAACAAGGTCAAATATGAAGCTTGGTATTGTGAATTTTTGATCCATGGAGATTTATATTTGTAAAACTGCAGCCAAACAGCCAATTTAAAATCATGTGACGTCATCACAATGTAAAGTCCATGATCCAAACGGGAACTCATAGGCGGGACCAGCGGGAGAAATACCACTGCACATATGCAGTGGGCTGCATACCCTGGAATTAAACCCAGAAGCCAAAAACCAGAAGTGGGACCAAGTCATGTGTGCAAATTTTAGCTAGAGATCTAGAGTTTGGCCACCAAATAAGCGAACAGGTTACCTAAAAAGCCACAAATGTGTACCTTTCTGAGGGGGTTTTGCAGTGATGGAAGTGGGATGTTGTGGCGGTTGTCTCACTAATTTTTGAGCTGCAGACCTTACATGCCACTGTGCTGTTGTCACTACTGTCTATGGCAATATAATCCTTGAATCCAAAGTCTCATTATTTTTGCCGCCTCTTAGTAGATTGCGAAATTTGCACGCATTGCACTAGAAATCACCCAATCATGTTTCACAAACAAAACATATCTGCTCATTATTGAGAAAAATGCAAATATTTAATTTAAAAAAAAGTCAGGTCTTTCCAAATCATCTGTCTAAAGTCTGTCAAGTCTGAAATCATAAATACCAAGTCAAGTCACGTCTTTTATCAGTGTTGTTCAAGAAAGTCCTCAAATGAAGTCTGACTTGAGTCACCCACTCCTGCTAGAAACATCTATGGCGTCTGCACCAGGCGAGCAATTCTCATTAGACTGAACGGGCACCATCTTGGGGTCCAGTATCCAGATCCAATAATACATCCATGGCCCAAAACCATCAGCTTGTCTCAAGGGTGCACAACTTACATCAGCCTCTCTAAATGCCAAATTCAAATGATGAATAAGAAGTAAATAGCAGTAGCAATAGTGCTAGTAATGTATAATATGATATATATACATACAATCTGCACCCGTGTAGATAAATTGAATTAACGGTGTAGAAAAAAGCATAATAATTGGATATCCCCTGTATAAGATATTGAGAGAATAATCATATCAGGGTGGACTTTACCAGAAATGGCCCAAACAGTCATAGTAGAGTTATATATTATATCTATTATGATGTTGAGATATGAAAAAAAGCTGAATTATATTACTATTTTAACTCATTGAACCTTAGAATAACTTACAAAGGGCCTCTAAAGCCTTATACTGACACTACATTTAGCTGACAGATAAATGTTAATGGTTATGTTGCAGATTCAGATTTTAACTCACAAAATGTAACAACTGAAATACGACACATTATTATTCATCAAACTATCCAGCATTATGTAAGAATTAAAAGCCTCCTCTTGAACTAACTTTCAGTAAGTTTAGGTGCATTGTACTGATAAAAGGTCTACATCTCCTGACTGCAGCACTTTCACTTTAACTTGTGCTGTGTGCTATCAATAGTTTTACTGGAGAAACAAGTTTTAAGTCGGCCGACTTCTTCAACAGCTGGCAACAGCCCACCAATATTTCTGGTAAGATAAAGGGTGAAAATAAAGCAAGATAGTTTGTCTTGTCAAATCACCAAATTCGGCCCTTATATTAATAATGAAAGCACAGCGTGAGCAGCTGAATGAAAGGCACAGAGGGATGCGTCCTTGTATTTATAAAGAAGTCCATCTAAAGTCTGACTGAAACTTAGACTAAAGCAAAGCACTCTGTAGAGGTCTAAATAAGTCACTTTCCACTGCTGAACATTTGACTGTTAATTCAGACACTTTGGTGCTGTGATGAAAAGCTCTGATCTATTTCTGCCTGTCACTGTGCTGTCAGTCTGCTCTCATCAATCGATCAGCTGTGTGATCAACAATCACAACAGCAATTACACATATTTGTTCTTCTCTGCATGAAAAATGGACATGTGGCATGCAAAGTGTAAAAAGTGTCAGTTACATGAGTCTTACACTCATTGTGTGAGAGTTGGCAGCCCTGACATTACAAGATTGTTCAACTCTGTTGCTGTCGCAGTGTTATGGCGTGAGATTTGCCTTGGTGTCGTGAGAGCGTGAGACTCATGCCCAATGTGTGAGAGTTAGCAACCCCGCACTAACAAGTCAGTAGGTTTGCACAGTTTATTGAAGAAAGGTATTTCTACTGGTGGCTCTTTTATCATGACTGGTTTCCATACTATGACTCTTTTATGTAGCAGTTTGTACTCCAGCAAAAGAGGTTTGTGCAAAAGTGGAAGTGAATCTGTTCAATATGGAAAACATCTCCTGAGGCTGTTACCTCTCCCTGACAGCCTTACTTTCACTCATCATATCTGACAGTGAGCCATCCTCTGCCGTCTCTGTTCACCTTGTCCCTTTTTTCCTCTGCCGCTCTACTCTCCTTCCCTTTATCTCACCCATTGTCCATCATCTCCTGCCCTCTAATCCAACTCTTCTGCCAGGTTTAATCAACAGCAATTCAAAAAAGCAATCCTTCACTTTCCTGGCCTGTAATTTTTCACTTTTCCTCACGCCTCCTTTTTTCCCCCTGCGTGTCATCTCGACTCTCATCTCCATCAAACTCCCAATGTGCCAGTCAGACACAAGCCTCTTACCCAGTCAGTGAGCAACAGCGAAGCATCCTGGGCCAATGATAGTGTCCTATGATGGAGTGGTGAGGGACGTTGACTGAAGGACATATGGTAATAAAGAGTAACTGTGGCTTGCCTGCCGCGCCATCTCATGTGACAGCCATCTTGCATCAGTGAATTGAGAATAACCTCCAGACAACAGAGAGAATGGTGACACTGTGATCTTAAACCCAATGGAAGTTGCTGGGTGAAGAAGAAAAAGAGGAGGAAGGGCTGGGACAAGTGAGAAGTAAGTTCCTCCTTGATGGGTTTCTAATTCTCAGTGGAGTTGGAGCACACTCAAGAATCTAAATATGGCAAACCTGTCACCACCACTGGTGAAACCCAATGACTGTGATTACACCTGTCACTGTGGTTTTTATTTAGAGAGGTGCATCAAATAGGAGACACAGCAAAACCCCATGCATAATGCATCAATAGCCCAGATCATTTATTTGTCTCTGTCAGAACACACCTCACCTCTTTGAGGAACTCTCTGTGCTGCATGCTGGGCAGTTGACTGACAGGTTTTGACTAGGTGAGAGTCTGATCCTCATATCTGGACGGATGATTAGTTCGCTGAGATAATCATGGCTGTTTGAGGCGACAGAGACGAATAAGGTGTAATTATAACACCGGGACGACAATCAGGACTTGGCTGTCAGAGAGAGCAAATGTCAGAATGTAATGATAGTGAGCACGGGGGGGGGCTGAAGTAGGAGTGTTGTTCAAGTTGTGGAGGAAGTACAGAGGAGGAAAAAGAGTGGAGGATTAGAGGAGAGGTAGAGAGATGACTGATGGATTTACTGAATGTGAAAGCGTCCCCTATAGGGCATGAAGGGGTACAGTATGGAGGATGTCCACAGACAGAAAATATCTGGGGGATAGATAAAGAGTAGATATTTGATAGAGAGATAGGGTGTTTGGCCTGGAAAGGCAGATACAAACAGAGCACTGGAAGGACAGACAGTAAAAAAAGGCATGTCTGTCATTCAGAGGAGCCAATAGGGGTTAACCTGCCAGCTTAGACAGCCACAGGGGAATTAGATAATCTCAGCTGGGCTGCTGCCTTAAAACTATCAGTTTGACCTTGGTGGCTGCACTTCTGCAAACATAGAGACGCTTAATATAAAAATCAATGACTGGAGTAGTTCTTGGTACATAACAGGGATAATTCCTGTTTCACAAGGTGCTGTATGTGCATGTGTTATTAAAATTAGGGTTACAATTAATTTTTTTTTTTTTTTCTTGTAAGTAAATCTCATTCTCA